TCGGGCGTCAATCTTTTTCGGTCACACAGCTGCTACAATTTCTCACGCAACTCTTACGGAAAATATATAAAATGTCCGGTTTTCAGGTTGACAATACTTCAATTAGATGTATGCGTACTAGTACTGCTATAGTGATTAATTTCGATACGAAAACCCCTATCTATAGCTTATCGGGGATAAGAAAATTTACTGATATATATTTAGGGAACATAAATACTCGCAACAACTGGTAGTTTATTATATTATACTTGTGTATTTTTGGTACCATTTGTTAATGGATTGACATTGAAATATAACATTTAATGTTCTATTAATGATATAAAAATTAATAAAACATTTTTTCAAGATTCATCGACACAAGACCTGTTTGATTAAAATAGCATATATTTTAAATATCAATGCAAAAATAATTTTAGACATGACTTATGATATCAATAAATTATAAACTTATGATATTAATAATACAATTAAATATTTCAAATACTATGTAGATACAAAAAAAAAAAAAATAAAAAGTTACAACATAGTAAATTTTAAATATATTTCATTAACATTAGTAGACACTGTTTTTTAAATTACTTCAAAATAAATAAAATCGTTTTTTTTTTTTTTGTTTAAATAAGTATCCAATTTCATTCAATTTTGGACTTATATGTCTAAGAAAAAATAACTGCAAATGTAATTTTAATATTTTTTTTAGATTTCTGTTAATTTAATTTAATAAACTAACCTCCAAAATAATTTATAAATTTTCATTGTTTAGAAAAATGTTGTCAAAGGTTAAACTTCAAACGCTTATAAAAAAATGTACGTTGTATATTTTTGAATTTATGTAAATTCAACTTTTAAGAAATTGTGTTTTCAATTTCAAAATATTTTTAGCAAACATACATTATTTTTTTAAACAATATTTAATATAAATAGTAAAAAAATCTATTAAATTATGCGAATTACAATGCTAATACCTACCCACGTATAAAATTATTTCATATTACAGTTGTCTATTATAGTATCATTAAATTCAAAAACCATTAGATGGCATGATAGAAAACAATTAATAAAATCAAATAAATATTTTGGTTTAGTATGATTTGAAAGAGTAAGTTATTTTGATACATTTTAAAGATTATATCAGTTTGTTTATAACATAAGATTGATACTATTCCATTATAATTAACATTTAATATAGTAACAAATAGTTATATAAAATGTATAGTATATGTTTATGTATTTCTACTTATACACTTTAAAATCATATTTTTTCTATGCCAAAAAAATATATTTTGTATTATATTATTTAAAAATAAATAGTAAAGGAAAGTAATAATGTTAATTTTAAAGCATTATTATGAAAAAATTTAAATAAAAGTGATAATTTTTTCAATTTATAAGTTTTTTTTCTCCAAACAGTATCTACCAACATTAATTCTATTACCTCCTAATTAGAGGTAATCTGATTTTAAAAGTTGAATATCACAATTTAAAAAAAAGTCAAGTTATTTTAAAAATAAATAATAATAAAATATATTATCATTATCCATATATTCAAGTTATATTGGAAAATATAATTTCGCTGATTATGGATTAAATTATATATCATGTAATTTTAACTAATAAATTTAACGGAACAATGTACAATATAAATCGCATTATTATTTCTGAACAAATTATAATAATACAGCATAGTTGAAATATGGTATATTTTAAATTAATAATAAATATAATATCATATATATATATATGTATATTTGTTTTTAATCAATAAATATTTGAAATGAAATAATAAAATAAAAAGTTGATGCAGTACCTAAGTATTGCAATAACTGGTGTCTGGTAGTATCATAAAAAAATAAGGAAAAATGAAAATCTATATAACATTATATGCAATATTTATTAGCAACATCATAATATTTTAACGAATTTATTAAATCTCATCAAATATATTATATTATTTTGTTTAAAAGGAAATGTAATATAAAAATATTTTATAAGAGCTAATATTTTCGTAAACAAAAATAAAGAATACATGAATATTTCTAAAATTGTTAATAAAATATATCAATTTAATAGTCATTTTTTTTTTTGCTAGTGAAATTCTATTACTATTTTTACTTCAATACTAAATAACATTTTAATTAATTGGATAAGAACTAACATGCATAATGTGTATTATAAACTTTTATAATACACGTTACTGGCTTAATTAAAAAATGTAGTAAAATTCACTGTTTGCATATTCAATGCATAATATCTTAGTTTCGTCTGAAAATATTTGAAAATAGTTTTTCAAAAATGGTAAACTTTTTTGGTCCATGCTTTGGGAAATTCGTAAAAATATACTCGTATTGCTGATATTGATATTTTTCTGTTGTAAAAATTTATAAAAACTTCTATTGTTATAAGTCATTCATGAGTTCATGACTCATGAGTTTGGTAGGTTGAATTATAATGAATATAAATGTAAAAAAGAGTTCCATATTTAAAATCAGAAAAAAATATACATATAATAAATTTAAAAAATATTCTTTATATTATTAAAAACAGGATTGATGTCTTAAGTATTTTCAAGGTCATATAAAGGTTTAAAAAGAATGATAATTTAAAATAAGAATAATTTTCAAATTTAAAGATATGTGTTTCAGTTTTAAAACTTAAACATATATTTGATTTTATACTTATAAATTATATCTAACATATATATATATATATATTTAAGACAGTGGTTCTCAATCTTTTTAGCACCACGACTCAAATTTTCCCCAAAAAATCTTTTACGACCCACATGGGCCACATGGTTTCACTTTTCAAAAAGCAATTAAATAAAATAAAAAAAAATTGTAAAGTTTTAAATTAAAAAAAAAAAAAAAATTAATAATTTAAAAAATATATAATAATAATGATATAAAATCATTTAAATTTTTTTAACAAAATTTGTTTATTATGTATTTTTATTAGGTTTAAATTATTATTTTTATTATTGTATAGGTTTATAATCAATATATTTTTACAAATGTACTTTTAATAATAACAATATTATACTATAATAATATATTTAATATTAATTTAACATACATTTCTTGGAATCTGTATAATTCAAAAAATTGTTTTTGACCCACCGAAAATTGACTGATGACCCATCAGTGAGTGACGATCCACAGTTTGAGAAACGCTAATTTAAAGTATTACTCAAGTATCATAATGACTTAATAAACACCTCATAGACTCACTTTGATTTATGTAGAAACTATAGTTTTTGAATTTACTATACAACAATAAGCAATAATATAAATGGAACAACAATCGTATAGATAATTTATTTAAATTATTAAATAATGGGTTATGAAAATACATTTTATTTACCATAACAAATTTTTATTAATATTAATTTGTCTAATTTTACAAAAAATGTGCTTAACAAATGTTGGATATAGTGTGATTAAGTTTTTATAAAGTAATTTATATTTTAAATTCCTATTTTTAATGAAATGTATATTATGTAGTTAGATATATGTAAAGCTTAATACATGAGTTTTTAGTTTATTTAATAATATTAAGAGATTTTTAGAAAAATATACGTTTATCAAAAATTATATCATCATATAATTGCGGTAATGTTTATGACGATTGAATAGATGATATTTCCTAATTGACAAATATGTCGATAATGTATATTGATATTCTAATGTATATATTATATGGACATCGAGCATAGGGGGAATATTTTTTATAGCGCAGTTGTTGATGCGAAGTGGCAGAAAATGTTTGAAAATGTTTTTTATGCAAATCAGAGTCGAAATGTAAGTAATTGCACATCGACAAGGGCCAGTAATCCCATGTTTTCCTTTTTAAGGATTAACTTAGAAATTTCGGTGCGTATTTTGGTAGCTTTTGGTTCTTGTAATAATATTTGTTTAAGTGCATTTAATAGTTTGTTCAGTTGACGCACACATAGCGCGTACGCGCACATACTCACCCTTTAACATATTAAAAAATTATTTGATATAATTAAAAAAACAATGAGGTATGTTAATCCACGTTGAAAATAATATCGTCGATCACAACTGAATAACATACTCACATAATGTGCATTGGTTGTCATATAATATATATGTATAATGTATTATCGTTGCTTTCCGTAAGGGTGTTGTAGGAATTCTCAACTGACAAAAAACACACCAATCACTAGCACACACACAAAATGGCATAGACGACAATATTGGACCGGAAATTAGTATTGTTTTTTCGTCTGAGATATTGGCTTTTCCAGAGGTGATCATGCGGAAATTTCGTTTTTGTAGGATTGCTTTTCGTGTGTTCGATTGGTCGATACTAGGCGGGCATCGGAATCCAGATGGTGACAATAATAGGGCCTTAAATACTCAGATGTTCGTGAAACAAAAGTGTGTACTACCACGATTTCATTTCGCAGAAACAAGTTCCAGCGTTTATCTGAGAGGGGTAAAAAAAGTAAACGTACGCGCATCGCGTCAAAGGTATCTGATGAACTTACAATTGTGTCACCGCCAGCCATGTGCCGATGCAATATACAGAGAGCACTTACAATAAAAAGGTGTGAGCCGTACCAAATCTGACAAATAAAAACATGTCTTTCTATGAATTATAAAAGTGCTTTATTTATAACACACGACTGTAGTAAGCCTGTATCCATAAATAGTTTCAGAGACTTATCGATGTAATAATACAATAAATCGCAAAATATATAGTATGCATAGTGTATACTAATTAAATACTCATACATTTTATTTAATGTAAGAATAATAAATACTAGCCTAATTATTTCGTCACAATGTAGTGATAGTATTACTTTTTTGCCAAATTTGCATATGGGTTATTTTTGTAAAATGTTAGAAATAAAATATTCGTATAAATTGACAAATATGCAGACGAACATTATGCTTAAAATATATTAGTTTAAAATTATATACTGCAATTTAAAAAAATATTGAACAAAAAATAAAAATATATCTAAAATACGAAAATAGAAAATAATTCAATTTATTTTTGCAATGTGTAAAGAAGTATTACATTCATTTTACAAAAAAGGTAGTAAAAATATTGATAATTAGTAGAAAATTGTGTTTGTTTTGAACATCTTATGAGATAGTTTTTTTTTTTACTGTAATCGCATAATTTCTATACGTGAAAAAAACAACTAATTATTGTTATTGTGCAAAAAGAAAAAAAAATAATTTTTTTATCATCGGTTGTAGTTGAATTTTTCTTCCTTTTCCAAAGCCTTGACTAAAATCAGACTCAGAACGGATATAAGCATCTGAAAAAAAATACAGGTGTTAACATTAGTAACACTAATTTATTTCTAAAAGTAAACAAAAACGAATATTAGGTACATATTATAAAATATTGAGTTTAGCGATATTAAAAATTGAGTACCATTAAAGGTTTTGATAATAATATTTTTAAAAAGATTTTAAAAATAAATTATTTATTTACAGTCTTATAACAACTGCTTGAAGTCAGCCATCCCGTATAACCTAACCTTGCATTTAAAAAAGTTGAATTTTATTCTATTTAATTTTTTCTTTTAACTTTGTAGATTACTTACACTGAACATTGTAACTTTAAATTGCTGCTTGGTCTATTGCAGTTAAGAATATTTAGACTTATATTCAAAAATATTATATTAGATTCTATGTTTTTTAATCCTTGAAGTAGAAATCGATATATTTTTTATTCTTACTATTGAATTTTGAATACATATTTTCTATATAACACTATTTTAGAGATTTTTATTCATTAGTTTAGTTTTTAGTTAAAATTAAATCTCATCACCTGGTTAAATTATGTGGCTAAATTATAATATAAAAATTTAATTTAATCAAATTTATGTTAACAAGTTAAATTTGTATTTTATTTAGTATAGAGGATGGTCCGATGGTGTATTTGATTGGTTATTTTAATATTATCCGTCAGACATTAAATAATCACGATAAATCACAAGGTAAGATTGTTTGATGAAAACATTTCGTAATCAAATAAACCGAATTGTCTTTGTTAATAGTTTCCAAGCTCGAATCTGCTAACTAATGAGATTTTTTTTTCATTAAAGAAAAAAAATATTTTTGTACAGAAATATTGGAATGGCGAGTCAGTGGCAGAAGAGGTGTATACAAGAAAAATAATTTTAATTATTTAAATTAGCATTGGAGAGAAAAATGGCAGATTTAACTTTTTACCTTCATCTCGTCTCTTGCGTTTTTGTTTCTTCTTATTTCTCATATACTCGTATATAGTTTTTTTTTTTTTTTTAGTTAATAGAAATAATATAATTTAAAAAATAACGAACGTTATAAATAGCTTTATCTTTAGTTTTTTATAAATTATGCAAATTTAAGCGAAACGAAATATTTATTTTATGAATTTAGTAATCTTTTTAACTTTTACACCTCCTTTCCCTCATTGTAAGTTTATTATTTTTAATTTATATTCTGTTTATTGTATTTATTTCGTATTAATTTTAATTTTTTTTTGTTATAGTGGAATTTGTTTGTTGTATACGAGAAGAAATAATTTTACAAACTATTTAACAGTTTTTTTTTTTTTTTAACGAATATACATTTATTTTATTATTTTATTTTTATATATGCATAATTTCTTAAATTAACACAAAATATTTCAAGAGTATTTAACGATATTATTTATTTATAGTTGCATCATTGAAATATTGTTTAATATTTATTGTTATCAACATTTTAATAATAAATATTTTTAATATTTAATTGAATTAAAAAATATATTTAAATTATTTATTGTTATTAGTTTTATTCTATTTTATTTTTTTTTATCAGATTTTAATTTTAATTTTAAGATTTTAGTATACAACATAGTTATCATAATACTACAATAAATAAAATTATATCAAAAATACCAATATAAAAATCAACAGTTTGAAATAAGGTAAATCGAAATTTTTGTCATCAAGAATTTTGTTTATGTACGTATAATTGTATAATAACATATTGTAATATAATATACATTTAAAATTCTATTATTATTATCATAGACATTACAGTGTTGAAATAATTTGCAGTTTATAATAATTAATCAGGAATATTTTATAAATATTTAAATAATGATAAAACAATATTATACTCGTATATAACTGTTTCATCGGGATTATAATTCAATAATTGTATATTTTTTTTTTGTATTGTCGTAATTATAAAGATTAAAATAATGTATACCTACTATAAAATTATATTGTTTTGCGTGGTCTATTATTAATTTATGATTTAAAAATAAATTAAAAAAAATATTTATGACAACTTAAAACACTTTAAATTTTGGTTATCTATTTAATAGATTTCTTTTGTACTTATTGACAATTGATATAATAAAATATAAATTATTAATTTTTATATTTAATGAGAACTTAAGGAATTATCAGCTAAATACAAATATTCCTACTCAAAGTAAAACAGAATTAACAAGTATTAAGAATGAAATATAATAAATAGTTATGTATTTCAAAATACTTATATTCATATCCAGAATCCTTATCACATAATAATACAATTATATTTCAAATAAATATAATATAATTAAATTTCTTTATCACTACTTAACCTAGTCATATAAACTACACCATTGTCAAATCTTCTGACCTTTTCTCCTATCACACCATTAATTCTTACTTTAAATGAAATTTTAATTGTTATAAAAAATTACTCAATTTTTAATCTAGGTATCGCAGACTAGGAAAAATTTAGTTTAATCATTAAAAATAACATCACACTTAACATCTCCCTAAAAACCTTACTTGATTTGGATAATGCGGTTCGATCTATCTTAACTATCATAAAAAATGCAGCACTCAATGCATCCCAAATAAGCCCTTCCACCACTTACTAACCAATATTTTTTTCCTCACACATACCCATCATAGATAAGCGTTGAGTTGCAGTAAATGGCAAAGAATACATTTGTCAAGTGATAGTAGAAACTTCAATAACCTCGTTAACTTTCAAGCGAATAATTCGGCTTTAGTAACAACTAAAAAACCTTATTCTATCAGCTAACTACACAGATTAGTTTAAAATATTACATCATTCTTGGAACAAAAAAATACGGTGTTTTTTTGTATTTTGCCCAAGCGTTTGATTGGGTATGGCATGAAGGGCTTATGTTCAAACTTTTTTTCTCATCCATTCCATTATTTCTCATCCTCAAATCATTACTATCAAATCAAAAATTTGCAGTAAGATGTGAAAAGACATTTCCAATTCATATTCTATAAAATTTAGCGTCCCTCAAGGCAGTATCCTTTCTTCGACTCTCTACAATATAAATACAGTAGACCTACCACAGTCAAACAACACTACCCTAGCTACTTTTTCCGATGATACAACCATAAATTCATCTAATTCCTCTAAGATTACCTAACTTAACTACAAAAATGGTTCATTTTATGGAAAATTAAAATCAACGAAGCAAATATCCACCCACATTACTTTTATCCTCAGTTTTAAAAATATTCTTTCTATTTACCTAAATGACCAAATAATCTTTATAGATAATTTTATTAAAAGCTTAAATCTTTTTTTCAACAAAATAGTAACCTGGAAAAACCATATTATATCCCTTAATCTCAGATTCCACAAATCAAGACCACTTCTCAAATCCAAAATCCCTCTTTTGAATAAAACACTAAATGTATAAACAAATATTACGCCTTGTAATGATGTATAACATCTAATGAAATCTAGGGAATTTTAAAAATTCAAACATAAATAAACTTCAAGCGTTTCAATTAATAACTTTTCGTGTCATCTCTAATTCTCCCTGGTACGTTAGCAATCGTACTTTATGTTATGACTTCTACACACCACCAATATCCATACTTGCTTCCTATCACTAAAATAAATTTTGTAAAAACTCTTTTAACCACACAAACTCCTTCATGTCTATATTTTCTTTTCGTACATTATCTGACGATCTTCTCCGTCATCGCATAATCTTTTAAATAATTAATAACAACTTACTTCTTCTAAGTTCATAAATTAGAATTAGTATCGATGGATTCTCTCTTTTCTAATGGTTTTCAAATCTTGTACAAACGTCAACTTATATAATTATTGTATTAATACAGTTTGTAAATATGTTTTACATTTAATGAAAATAAATATGAATATATAATTTAAATTTGAAAAGTAAATTGATTCAACGTCTAAATATAGAAAGAAAAATTTATTTTGAAATTTGTGTTGGTTTTATTATATTATATTAAAAAACTTTTAACTTATAATTTTCTGTTATATTTTTCAAAAAATAAAAAAAGTTTCTTATTTTTATAAATAATATAAAATTCTTATAAAAAAAAAATACCTAAAATAAGTATAATCAATAACTATATAATTTATATTATATATATATAGAAAATTTAAATCTATGTCTTTGTATAAAAAATTTATTTTTACATTTTTTTAATACACTATAATTTAATTATTTTTTAATCAATCAATTGATATACAAATAATTTAATAAGTTTAAAATTTCACTATAAACTGTAAATAAACAAAAGTATGTTTATAATTATTGCAATATTTTATGATATATCTGAGGTTTTTATTTTCCGTGATTGAAAATCCCATTTTTTTTTTTATTTAATAACAAAAGGTAAATAATAATTATATTTCATACAAATTTTTCAATTTGATATATTTTCAATTAATAAATAAATATTACTAATTCAAAATTATTATTTATAATTAATCAGTGATGTATTAAATAAATAAGCTAGTTAATATACTTTGTATATAGCTTTGACATTTTAATTCAAACTCACTAAACTGAGAGAATAAAATTAAAAATTATCTCTTGGATAAAAAAAAATAGATTATGTAAAATTTAATTAAAGTCAAAATGAAATTAAACGCTTTTATTAATGTATTTTCTAAATAAAAAATAATAAGTTTATATAGTTTATAATATATATTGTGTATAAAATTATTACTAATTTACAAAGGAATCACGTAGTTAAAGATGAAACGATAACTTGTTAGATTACTGGTAAAAGAGTTGAAAAGTCGGAGTGATCACAGGAAAAGAGTGCAGTATTTTATAGGTTCCTCGAAAAATTCCCATTTAAAAAAAAAAACAACGTAAACATTCTATGTGAAAATATCTCAATAATATTACAGATGGCGTGCCCCGTGCGGAGTATAAAATTTATTCTTCAGCTGCCGTCTTGTCATTTCTTTAATAACATTAATTTCCTTTCCGACTTTTTAAACATAAATCGTATAAAATGGAGACCAACTACGGTTATCGTAATCATAAGGATTCGATAAGCTGTGGAGTGATGGTCGGCAGTGGGAGAAAAAAACATTTACAGTTGTCGTAATGAAATATTATACACTACCCTGTACCTTGGCTACTACTACATACTATCCTTTCCAATACTTTTATATATAAAATGGATATAAATTATTTAGTTTGCTGGGTTGATGGGTACATACAGTGTAGTAGTAACAGTGGCAGTAGTATAGTGGTGATGGTGATAGTATAGTAGTTGTAGTATAGTAGAAGTGTCGGGTAAAAAGAAACATACCTATATACATATTATATATAAGTGAGACTTTTTTGCGCACCGTACAGACGTTTTTATTTAAAGCTATAAATTTTGGTACCTACGCAATGCGCAGTCGATTTTTTAAAAATACTTGAAACATTCAACGGACCGCAAATTATGGACTTAAATAATGATGGGCGGGTGCGTATATAGGGCATTGAATTCTGTGACCATTTGGAAGATATTTTTATATAGGAACTTGAAACAGGCGAGATGTGAATTTTTTCATGTTGATGGTAAATTTGCATAGAATAAACTATCTTCAGGAATAAAAGGTGGTTCTCGGGACAAGCATAGAAATACACAAGAGTCCATAAATAACTTACCATCCCCATATAGTTTGTCCCAATACAATATATCTTAAGTATAAAACAAAATATATATATATATATGTTTGAAATGTATGGTATAAAGATAAAAATAAAAATAATATTTAGTTAATGATTAACTATAAACATTTTTTAAAAATGATTAATAGGATTAATATATTTTTTAAATTTTAAATAATTACCAATCTTTATATGTAGTAATGTGACAAAGTTGACTTTGTTTTAAATTATTTTCTACCCTATAAGTATAGATCTTTGTAGTATTTACCTGAATTTACTATAGTAAAACTATGCCAAATAAATATGAAATAAAATAGGTTTAAAATGTTTCAATTGAAGTAAAGACATATAATATCAAGTCAAATGTTTTCAAAATGAGACGGTATTAAGATATTACAGCATATAAGCTAACATACAGCAAATTGCTAAGGCTAACCAGTTTTTGAAAGATAAAATAATAAGATGTAAAGATAAACGTATATTTTATATATACAGAAAAGTTTATTTTAGTTTAAATTTATCGTTTATCAGAACATTTTAAGTCTCTGGAATTTATTTCTAAATTTAGTTTACACAATTGTTGAGATAAAATTTTGTCAAATTAAGGTTCCTTGTAATTTTATTTTTATTTGAATTCAGTTTCTAATAGATTGAGATGCTTTTATATTAGCCAATACTATCCATCTGAAAGTTCTATCATAATACGCTTTACAAAAAATTAAATACATTGTTATAAAACTAATATATTTTAATTATGTGCTTGAATCATAAAATTTAGACTATAGTATATTTTACTGTGTTTTATAAGAACAAAATAACAGTAATCATTTCAAACTTAAGTTGTAGCAAAGGATACTAACATTTTTATTAAATTTTAATTGAATTAATAATAAGAAGGTTAACAATGGTAGTTAATTTTAGGTTTTGTAAAATGCACACAATTTAGTAGGTATAAAGTATACATTAGTTTTTATTATTATTCGGTCAAAAAATGTATATATAAATATTATATATAGTGTTTAAATGTACATGTTAGCTTTGTATAATATGTAACAGACTTTGTTTGTAAAATAAATATTTAAAATAATACTATACGATGTATATGATATTTGTGTACTTTCGAACTTTACCAATAGTTTGTTGTTTGAAAATATATATTTTATAAATGTAATCAAAATAATATATAAAAATGATAGTTTGAATTAAATAGAACAGAAATAGAAAAGTTTGTATAATATTAGTTTTTTCTGCTATTGAATTTCTAAAAAAAAAAAAATTCATATACATTAAAAGTGTTAAATTATATGAGAGATTGTATCGAATTTAATGGAATGTACATTTTTATTGGCGAATTTCGAATTCCTTTTTAGCATGTTTATCATACATTTATTATAGGTTGTTATTAATACGATATTCTTAATTAAATTTAAAATTTAAATTAATAAATAAACATGCCAAAATGTTTGGTAAATAATTTATGAAAAATGTGTATGATTATGTGTATATTGATTAATAAATTATTATTTATTTTTGATTACTTAGTTATTTTTATGATGAATAATTTATATTACGTGATTACTTGACTAATTAAAATTTAATGATCGATATTATTATACTTTTTAATCATCATAATATACTGTAAAATACTTTTAAACAAAATAAATAGGTACCTTTGTTGAATTGGTATTTTATATGATAATTTGACATTCATTTTGTTTGAAATATAATATTGGTACATACTTTATATTGAATTTCCATCTATATTAAAATTCTATATTATAAATCAAACCATGTTTTAAGTATTTCGGAAATTATATTGAAAGTGTATTATTTATTCGAACAAATAATTAGAAATTCGTATAAAAGAAAACAAATTAATATATATTTAACTTTTAAGTGTTAATAATATATACGCGCGTAGGTACGTTCGAGTGCGAATCAAATATTCCCGAGTTGACTGTTAAAATAATGAAAATCAATTTTTTGGTTTTACAATATTGTATTATCTCACTCAGTTAGGTTCTCTATTTTTTTCACCTTTTTTTTCTCACTCATATACCACTTCTGCTATACATATAATATATATTTTTGTTGGCACCTCGAACATCGTCTATTACTCGTATTTCGATTAAGAATTCGTCGAAAATACAAAGAACAACAGTATGGTACGTGTCATAAACAAAAATACAAATTTCGTCATGTACTTTGGTGATTATTGCTTTAACAAACACACACGGCCGTACCTCACGTATATGCATACGTCGAGATCGATTGACGGCGGTGAACCATATATTTTAACGTGGACCTGGGCATTTGAAGTTTTCATAAAAGGTTTGAGATGCTTTTGTGTATTATGGTATGTATATATAACGCATAGAAGTTCGGCGACGTTGCAAGCAAGTGTCCGTTGAATACATGAGCAATGGTGGTGTAAGGGGAGGTTGAATGACTTTTTTTGTTATTTTTTTCGATCTAAAAAGGTCATACTAGGGAAATGTCTTCAGAGAAGGTCTTAGAAGGTCAATTCGATGATGTTATACAAATTATGAGCAACTCATTTAACGCAAAATATGGTCATTATTATATGAAAAAATAACAAAAGCATAAACATTTATAGATGTTATCAAAGACCGGGTGAATCAAACTATGTAGACGCTAAAGGTAAATAATGTAAAATGCATGAATAAAATAATTTAATCAGCTGAGATAAATTTAAACTTCTAAAATTAAAACAGATAAACATTTTAAAATAATAATATAAAATAATTAACTTATTGGAGCGTGATCACAGAGCAATCTAAAATAATACTTTACGGGTCTATATAGTCTTAACAACAAATAAATGCTTTTTTTACTTAATAATAAGTAGGTAAGGAGTATAAACACATAAATCAGGTTTTTAATTATAGTTAGTATAGTTTTTCAATTTTTGTAGTTTTGAAAACTAATAATATTATCCAAATGAATATGATAAATTTTAAAATTAATAATTTTATCAGAAGAATATTATTTATGTATATAATAAATACTAAACTGGCTAATAATTTTCTATTTGGTAGCAAAGATAATGAACAAAAAGCAAATCATTAATATTCAGGAATGTTATTTAATGGCATTCCTCACTATAATATTATCTTATAGAAATAATAATGATAGAATTCCAAAATGTCTAGTCGTTCGTCATTGATCGTGATGTTTGATGTATCGATCTTAATGAGCATTTACAAACTATTTTATATCGTTTAAAGTTTTCATATAAGAGAACTATTTATAATATATTTGTATTAAATTGAACTAAAAAATATAAACGTTAGTACATACAAACCTATACTATTATATACTCATAATGATAAAGTTATAAACGTATAACCTTTAAATATCATAACATTAAATACCAAAATCAGAAATTAAAAAAAATAAATAAACTATATTATTTAAGAACCATTCTTCTGTTTTATATAATTTATCTTTATGAGTTCTTAGATCGAAAATACTGTGTATTGGAAATAGAAAAATTTATGTATTGTTGTGTTGTATGATCCATTCTCCTTGTATTTTGGCTTTTTAAATTTAAACAATTTAATAATATATTATACTTATTTGAGAAATGTTTATTTTTTCTTTTTCTTAAACATATATATTTAAATAGGTGGATTTTACATTATGTTTGAAATCGATAATTACCTCCAAAGCGGCTATCGATATTGCTATGTTGGTCGTCCACCGGGATTTGTCCTCCAAGAACCAAGTCACTTCATCAGCACAGCCATAAAAGAATGCATTCCCGGTTACCGTGTCTCTACATTCCGTAGGCAACGCTTTCCTCAGCGCCAAATAGTCATTGGGTCCGTCTGCTCCGCAACAACCAATCTAAAAACATATACATAATATTAATTATAATGGGTGTATGCTTACCATTTTTAAACGTATTACATAATATATATTTTTATTGTATATATCAAGTCGATAGATTTAGCAGAATCAACACTGTGGCGTTTAAAATTGGTAGGAAAGTAAATTCCAGAAAGTCGAGGAAAACTATTCGATGTATCAAAAATCCTTCGCTTTAGAGCTCATCATCTATCGAAAAAACGAGTTGATTGTACGTTTTCACATGGTGTTTATGGAAAATCAATGAATACACATATGGAAAAGACGCGGCCCCGGCAATAACCAGATATCATGCACTACGCGTGTAATACACACGACGGAGTGTTGACAACTCGAGCGTTACGAGTTTAAACACCCGTGTATTTCGATTCAAAATGACTCAATAATAGTAATTATGTGTATGTATGAGTAACTATGTGTTCTTTGTTCAATGGTTGTCTAATGCAAAAAAAACGTTACACAGATCACATGGCCCCGAAACTTTCTTTGCGCTTGTCCAATTCGCAAAACGTTTGATGTATATTTTAAATCGTCAAGTGCGAATAATGTGTTTTATTCTGAGTCTTTATCAACAATCGCAATGTTATCGCACGACTATGACACGTTTTGATGATGATGGACGGTTATTCAGATGCACCCACGTGAGTATGAAACACATTTCATTTTTACAATTTTATATTTTATAAAAATTAAACAGCTATAAAGAAATGGTGCTCCGGCTATCAATGACACTCAATTTATATTTTATCAATTAAATGATTACTTTATAGTGAAAAATGTAGAATAAATACTGTCGATACGGTATTCAATTAATATATATTAAACAGCCAACACTAAGTTATGTATTTATAAATAAAATGAATTATTTAGTATACTTAAGAAAACTCAAAACGATAAATCAGCATATTATTAAGTAAGTGTATTTTTAGAAAAAACATTTATAAAATAGCTGATGATACTTATGTAAAATTATAAGCACATAATTGTATTATTTAATCAAATATATTATTTTAAGTCATTTATACAATATTTATGTAAACATTTAAATACTTTAGGAAGTTAATAGTTATCACAATGTTGAATATATATAATATAACAGTAATTATAATTATTTTTATAAGCTTATGTCGTATATATAATGTATAAAATATAATATAATATATTATATTTTTAAAATTATTTTTTTTTATCCATTAATTTTGTATTTTACAAGATTTAAAATTAAATTAAGTAGTGTTACTTTAGTTGAGAATAAAAAAGTATAAAACAATGTTTACTTTTAATAAATAAGTTATAACATAAATAAATATTAGTATTAGTAAATGCAACTGAATTATTTACTTGAAATAATGTTTGAATAAGAAATGTTTTTACTTTTTTCCGTCGAGTATGTTTTCAAGAAATTTGAATTAGAGTATTTTCATGGGAAAAAAACTAAGTTATTTCGAATAAACGAAAACACATTAAATCATGTCAAGATGTACAACATTTCTGATGGATTAATTTACATTTAAATAAATCTCGTATAGTACTATTGCTTTAAATTGTTTAACTTTTTCGTAACCAAATAAATTGAAAATATGACACAAAAAAAAAAAAAAAAATTGAATTCTCTAGGGAAACAACCACTCAACTTCTTTGTACAGTTTTTTGTGTGTGTACAAGAACATATATCGTCGGTTACAGAGTAAGTGTATAAGAGCAAACATTGAAAGTCTTAAAAGATCAGATACTTCAAAAATGTATTTTCTGTAACGAGAAAGAAAAAAATCTTTTGAAATGTTCAGTTTTGCTTTGTATAATATTTTCATATTTCCAGTTTATACGATTAAAAGCGGTTGATTGTACTGAATGACAAAGAATAACTTACTGTTTTTATTAAAATTTTTTCATGATGAAAGTAAGTGTTTGATACGCTGAATTTCGTATACATCTATCGTAGTAACACGAAATATTACCGTCGATAATTATTAACAATTGTTTGCCTTTACTTTGTTTGATCAGAAATCTTAAAGTCTTAAACACATAAAATGTATCGATTAAGTCGCATGTCATTAGAATAAATTATAAATAATTGTGTTTCGTTGTGTTTATCTTCCTGGTGAGTTTACTCAACATAAATTCATTAAATGAATATTCTAAAGAACACAAATAAAGTGTTCATTTTTGTTGTTTACTTTAACTACAAATTGTGCACGTATTATGTTTAAGATTTTAAAGTTGATATAAAATCATAACATTTATTTATTGTCATATATCCAAATTTAGGTCAAAAAAATTAAGGCATTATTGTTGGTACGGAAAGACTCCCTTAAAATGTATGAACATTATTTATTATAGTATATAGAATTAACAGAAAAATAAATACTGCGTCATCAATTCTTTGTACATGAAATACTGTCATTTTAAAAACATCTAATATTAAATTAATGAGTATTAAAAGTTTCCTATTTTATTTGCATTTTAATTTAGTATTCAAACTCTCTTTGAAAAAAAAAAAGTCAATTCAGTAATAAATACTATATTTATTAGTGTATATTATGAGTTTAAATTAACTATAAAGCTATATTTTAAATAAAATAGATCAAGAACAAAACCGATTTATCTTGATTTATACATATGTCGAATTTCATTCACATTTTATCGTCGGTCCTTGGGGTGACATACATTTGAACTTTGCACACATTTCTTAACATGTTTTAAAAATATCGCACAAAACTTTAAGTTTGAGTACTATCATGGGTCCTTATTTTATCTATAACATTATGTATTTAAGATAAAAGTTTCTTTTCTTCAGAAGCAAATGGTAATTTTTTAATTCCCTTTGAAAGTTATTATTATTTCACTGTGGAAATGAATCAAAATAAATTCAGATAAATGTAGGTATTGACAATCATAAAACAATAGGAATCTGCCAAATAAAAACGAATGAGATTTATTTTCGTAATGGAATAAATTATAAAAATATATATCAAGTCAACAAACACGAAGTTCCCATATAATAATAGATTTACAATGTATAAAATAACAAAACAGTTGGGGGAATTCATTCTAATGTACATAGTAAATAGAATATCATCATTGAGTAAGTTAATGTAATGGATGTGATAAATTTGAATAAAATAAAAGTTTAAAAATTTTTGATTTGATAGTGGTCTGATCAAATATATTTGATAATAATTTTGAGGTATTTAATGTTTCATAAGTTCTTACTATTATATACTTACTTTTATATCAAATTACTTATTAACTTTAAAATAATGATTGTAATTTATTAACATAATTATTTTTATTTATCTGCATTGAATGTTATACTTTTGATCTACGTGTCACATAGGGGTATGATCTATCAGTTAACTATGAAACAGCGAAATCGGCTTCATCAATAAAAACAACCTACAATTGAATATTGAATAAAACTGATAAGGAGTAGGTATCTAATAATTTCTTATAGTAGTAATTCAGCAATTCTAAATGATTGTACATGTCTCCTTCACCCGTAATTGTGCACAATTTGGTAATCTTATATAAAGCCATACATTTTTATACCGTCAAATCGGTTTTCTACGTTATCAAAAATCGAAAATATGTATATTATATTGATCACGGTTACACAACCAAAAAGTGAATAAATTACAACGAATTACTCCAAACATCAAAAATGCAAATAAAATACAATAAGATAATTTTTATATCATATAATATTTTGTAGGTATTCTCATTAAGCTCAACAATGAAATATCTTATTTAAATTAAAAAGTGGTCTAAAAATCTGAAAATCAATGTCCAAAGACAATATTATGTATAATAAACCGTTCAATGAACAGCAAATTTTACATTTGTTTAGTAATTTACGAAGAATAAAACAGCTAAATAAACAGTATAAATACTCACAATAAGATTTACTATATTGTTATGTGTGTAAAATTACTGCAAGATTTATTTATATTTTTTTATTTGATATTTAACTTCCAATCATATGAACAAAAAAGAAAGTTTTTTTTTTACCATCTTGCCAACAATTTTCAATCACATTATATCAGCGTTTGACTGCTAGTAACAAATAATTAAACAATTTTTCAACTCTCCTTTGTCCATGTTTATTATTATAACAGCTCGTGCACAGTAAATACAATAAAACGAAAAAAGGCCACGTCATATATGTAATATATAATATATGCGTACACACATTTGTATAGTTATTGTATATGCAGTTTCAAAGTAATAAACTTTTGATATTAAAATGAAAATATAGTTTGTTGAAACTTTTATTAACACCATCGCTATGTATAATATAGATGAGAGGAAATAAAGAGTTCCTATTGTCAGCAATTAAATTTAAAGACAGAAAAGAGGTAAACCACTCGTTATGAACGAGCTGTATGTGTAATTAACATTCATACATGCATCTAGGTTACAAGTCTTGAAATTTACTCTAATATTCTAATTTCAAGCACACAAACTTTCAAAGAAGAATTTTTGTTGTTTAATTTCTTGGGTAAATACTGGCATGCAGTAGGTATGTACACATATCTTCACTTGGCCTTCACGGCAGAAGTGTCTTTAATAATAGGTACATATCTGATTATAATATATTATACAAATTTTTTATTAACAATATAGTGTCTATATCATTTTCATAATATAAGATAGGAAATTAAACTAAAAAAATATTTTAGGAGCGATGTATCATGGATATAAAAAAAAAAAAAAACTAACACGTTAAAATGATCATATTTCCAAACGGGACTGTTAAAATCATTATTTTTGTATAGTTCCAAGTATATAATTTAGTAGATTAAATGCGTTCGTCAATTTCAAATTTAATTTTATGTATTAGACACTTTATTCAATGTCAGTTTGGTTTAGTGCTCTCGATGTAAGTACGTATTATATTATATTATATTGTTATAGTACATAATAGTCCATTGGCCGAGCATGAACAGCGTTCGACCATTGTACACCGTTTCTGATGGTTA